GTGCTGGCCTTCCTGGCCGTGCTCTTCTGCTTCCACGCTGCCTTCTTGCTCTTCTGCGTGGGGGTGACGCGCTACATGGCCATCGCCCACCACCGCTTCTACGCCAAGCGCATGACGGGCTGGACCTGCCTGGCTGTGGTGTGCATGGTGTGGACCCTCTCCATGGCCATGGCCTTCCCCCCCGTCTTCGACGTGGGCACCTACAAGTTCATCCGGGAGGAGGAGCAGTGCATCTTTGAGCACCGCTACGTCAAGGCCAACGACACGCTGGGCTTCATGCTTATGCTGGCGGCCGTCCTTGCTGCCACCCACCTGGTCTACATCAAGCTGCTCTTCTTTATCCACGGCCACCGCAAGATGAAGCCGGCCCAGCTGGTACCGGCCATCAGCCAGAACTGGACCTTCCACGGGCCGGGAGCCACCGGCCAAGCGGCTGCGAACTGGACGGCTGGCTTTGGCAGGGGGCCCACGCCACCCACCCTCGTGGGCATAAGGCAGGCGCTGCCACCCACCTGGTCTACATCAAGCTGCTCTTCTTTATCCACGGCCACCGCAAGATGAAGCCGGCCCAGCTGGTACCGGCCATCAGCCAGAACTGGACCTTCCACGGGCCGGGAGCCACCGGCCAAGCGGCTGCGAACTGGACGGCTGGCTTTGGCAGGGGGCCCACGCCACCCACCCTCGTGGGCATAAGGCAGGCCACCCACAGCCAGATCAAGAGGCTGCTGGTGCTGGAGGAGTTTAAGATGGAGAAAAGGCTCTGCAAGATGTTCTACATGATCACCTTGCTCTTCCTGCTCCTCTGGTCCCCCTACATTGTGGCCTGCTACCTGCGGGTCTTCATTAAGGCCAGCTCCATCCCCCAGGTCTACCTGACCACCTCCGTCTGGATGACGTTTGCCCAGGCAGGGGTCAACCCCATCCTCTGCTTCATCTTCAACAAGGAGCTCAGGGTCTGTCTCCGAGCCCACTTCCCATGCTGCCAAAGCATCCAGAGCACCCAGGGCACCATCCTTTGCGATCTCAAGAGCTTCGGGATGTAGGGGGACTTTTCTCTTTCTAAAAAAGAAAGATGGATATCATTTTCCATGTTTCTGCGTACGATCTCAAGAGCGTGTGACCTGTGGGGGACATACTAAACCACCACCCAGCACCCAAACCTTAGGCTGTAAGAAGCTATTTTATTTATTTTTCTATATTTTGCGTATGCTCTCTTCAGAACAGAAAAGGTTGCTGTCTATGGGAACAGGTACTTGAGCAGAACACGCCCAAACCTTAGGCAGTAAGAAGCTGTTTTTCTTTGTGATTGTGTGGTTTTTAAAAACAAAACAGGGCTCCGAGTTTCCGGTCTTGCTTCTAACGTTTCTAGACATGATTCCAACAGATATGGATTAAGGCCATGACATTTTTTTGTTTCCCTATTCCTGTCTGTTTTGATAAAGGCTTAACAATTTTATTCATGTAATATTTGATAAGGGCCAAGACAATTTTATACTAAAGTTATTTTTGATGACCTCAAGAGGTGTTGTTTTGTTATTATTTGATTTTAAGTGAAGAACAAGAAGAGGACCTTCCTAATGTGGTCAGAAGTCAGTTTTTGGTGGGAGCTGTTGGGTTCATTCATTCTCAAATGGTTTGAGTATTTGAAGCAGTTACTTATAACTTTTGCTTGACATGCAAACAGTGTAGAACTAATTTCGATTTTCTTGTTGCACTATTCATTTGGTAATATTTCTGAACTGTTTGTGAAATGTGATTTTAAAAATATCAACTTTAAAAATAATCAACTATAGCAGTTTTTAAAACCTAGATTGAAATTCATATTTTACTGCCTTTATAGGAAGTTATCTACAAACCTGGGTAATACTTGTACATTTTGACTGTTTTCTTTAATAAAATACTGAAAACCTTTACTGTATGTAATTGTTTCAGAATGGCAGCATTCTGCTTTGCTGACAAATAACTTGTGTATGTGGAAGGTTGTATGTCTTGTGTCTGAGTAGATTTCACAGCTGAGGTTATTATGGACAAGCACAATCCTTATTTGCTGTTAGATCTCAATTTAGGTGTTTATACCAATAAAAGTGACTAAAGCTATTTTTAAGAAGACTTAAGTTCATGATGGGCAACAGGTTTAAATAGCACAATTCTGTGTGTCTACTGAAACCAAATTTCTGTTTTAGCTAATCGCTGCTCTGTTAATGATAGAAAAGTGACTCGCTAGGCTTAGTTGGCAAAGCAGTTGTTTAACACGGTGGCTTGGTTAATACTGTACTCATTTGTAAACTATATTCCTAACAGGTAATTTATGTGTATGAAGCGTGGCGTTTTAACCTGCTTTGTTGTTCTACAGAAACTTCTCTGAAAGCGTTTTAACTGGCAGCCTGATGGCAGGATCCTGACACAACTTTATAGCCATCTCAGAGGACGCTGTTTCTGACGTTTGTTCTTTCTGATGTATCACGTAACATCTAACGAATGTTGATCGTAGCAGTGCTGGAGCAAGTCGCACACAAATTGGTAGAGATGAGCTCAATTTCCATGAAAAAATCTTTTTCTGTACTAAATGCCTTTCTGCAGAGAGTAGTCCAAAGTTGTTAGGCATCAACTGAGAACTAGTTGTCCTGAGTGCAAAGTGAGCACAGAAGAGACGTGTGTGGCAGGTCGGAGGAAGGCTAAGGTGGCAGCTCCAGATGGAGGCAGGGAATGAAACTAGGGAGGCCTCTCATTTGGTTTTATGTCTTGCTTTCCACCCCCAGCTCAGATTTGAACCCCAGAGAGGCAGCGTCTCTTGAAGTACAGAAGGGGAAGTTTGCAATTCGAGCTTTTGGTATAGCTGCAAAGAAGGTAGGCAGGAGGAGGACCGTGCTGCCTTGATGCTGCCAGAGCTGGGCTAAAGAATATGACCGTGGATGGAGTCATATTCTCAACAAAGTGAGACTTAATGATCATTTCCAAAGCTGTTTGAAAATGCATCTGGGTGCAGAAGGAAAGCTGTCAAGAACTTTAGATCACAGCAGAAGCTGGTTATCAGTGCTAATTATATTTTCATCCTGGAATATCAGATTATGGGTTCATGAATCTTGGTGAGCAATCAGGTAGAGCTGTGTTACAAAGACGTAGGGGTAAAGCATCGATGCTGTTACTGGGAGTTGTATCCCAGGTATACCTTACATGCCTTGTTTAATGTTAGGTCTTTTCAGCAGGTTTCCAACTTTTGCAGAATCTTATTTCCTTAAAATTTAAGCAGCTTCCTAAGTAGAGGCCTAGAACTGTGATCTCTAACTCAAATCTTGCCTTCTTTTTGCTAATCCTACTGGTACGCAAGCCAATGTTTTCCTTCTCTTACTCGATTAAAAATGCCTGATATTTTAGCATCCTATCTCTCTTCCAGGCTATAAATAGTATGGTTATGATTCTATTTAAACCACAGAGATGGGAGAGTAGTTATTTTAAAACCTCAAAAGCTGCAAGGACCAGGTTTTTCACTTCTAGAAAAATTAAGCACGAGTTGTACAGTCAATTGTATATGTGGGGGGGGTGAAAAAATCACCTTTGGGTGACCTAATGGTTTTATTTAAACTTAAACCAGCTTATCAAGCCACGCTGATGATCTTTGAGGTCCCTTCCAACCCTAACCATTCTATGATTCTATAGGCATCCCCCATCTCAGAGATACTGTTGCCAGATGGGCGAGTCTGGGTTTTGCCCACTGAAGATAAGGGATGCTTTACTGTCACCCATCAGTGGCCACCAAAGCCAGCCCTGCTACAGCAAAAGGATACAAAAAAGTTCAAAAAAGATACCTGTATACCATGCCTCTTGCTTTCATGTAGCTTCCAGGGCTGTCTCAGGACTTCTGACATACTCTCAGGGCAGAATCAGCGCTGTTTGAAGTTAATTTTATATTTTAGATACTTGTAATATCAGGTAGGTTATGATCGGGGCCATGCTAGTACAAAAGAGAAGGAGCTCCAGTAGCTTTAATTGGGGTTTTAGATGGGTGTTGTATAATAGGGCTTCATTCCATAAAATGTGAAACTAAATATCAAGGACAGGCACATGGCAGAAAATTAAAAGGTACTCGGTGCCTGCACACCAACAACCACCACTTTGCAAGTCTGTCCTGCTGACTGAGAGTGCACCAAGTAGGAAAAAACAGAAAGGGCTGGAGAAGCACCAGAAGATAAATATTCCTTCTGAAATCTGAGAAAAGATAAGAAAGTTGAAATAAATAAATAAATAAATAAATACAGCCTTTGGGGCCCACAGTATTAACATGTTCTCACTGGATCCTTTAAGCTGCATATGGGGAAAGTGGGCCACAGAGATTAAATGCTTTGACCAAGATCAGAGAAGGGGTGTTAGAGAGGATGAAAGCCTGCTCTGGATAACAAAAGTAAACAAATAACGTGAAGAGAATGGGCTGAGCACAGGGAGCCATCCCTGATGCTGTTGGGACCTGTAAGCCTCCATGTCCTCAGCTGCCCATCCAAAAACCAGAGTGCTGCTGGTCTCGCGCAGAGGCGCTGATGGAAGAGATGCGGCAAGAGCTGGGTGTTAATAATTACCTCCCATGTCCACGTGAGAAGCTATTGCAACTTGTTGTGCAAGTCCTGGGCTCACTTGCGAAAACTCAGATGGTCTCAACCCCTCTCCCCATCCCTACTGACCAAAACACAAGGTACTAGGAGGGTTTGGTGAGCTGCATGGCAGCGGGGCTCTCCCAGCTCTTCCATATACCTATGCTTGACCAGAATATGTATTGAGTCTTCTCTATACCCCTCCAGGCAGATGTATGCTAGTTTTCCATATTCTGGGCAATGCAAGTGCTGAGTATCACAGGAAATACCAATGTCATCTCCCCCGGAGATTCTCCACAGCCTGGCTCAGAGGTCAGAGCACGCTTGCTTTTGCATATCTGTGGTGAAGAATTACAGTTGCACGGGGAGCTGCTCTGGAAACCTCTTGATTGCTGCTGGCATCTTCACTCATTCATCAGATATTTAACACATTCCTTGCAAAGGTTCCTGGTCAAAATCTTGAAGTCAGTGGAAGTTTTTAGCAGAAACTTAAATGGCAGGCCAGCTTGAAAAATGACACTGGCCTGAAATCTCAACAAGTAGCAGCTATGGCAAGCTCTGATTTACAACACTCAACACCTGGAGCACTGTGGGGTGCTTCCAGCTCTGCTGTTAGATTTGGAAAGAGTTTGCCAGGAAAGAGGCTGAAACATTTGGCCTCAGCCAAATTATCTTGATGGGCAAAGGTCTTATTCAGTAGTCGTGCTAGAGGTAGAGGATGAGCAGGGGCATGCATAGCCCACAAGCTGTCATCATTTGCTTTTCCAGTACCAGGTCTGCACCAGGGGAGACAAAGCTGCCTCCCAGAATGGTGTGAAGCCAGTAGCCTTGAGGAAAAGGGCAGGAATTTGGCTTAGTCTGGTAGCAACGATTCTTTCCTGGGGCTCTACCTGGATGTCACACAGCTACACCTCCAGAAGGCTGCTCTGCCATATGCTGTGGTACTGCCCTGGGACACATTGTGCTGAGCTCAGAGGAGAGCAAAGCTGGCATTTTCCCTCCCTTCCCAGCAAAGGATGCATGGAGTTTGGCTGGACCTCTGCCACTTGCCCCACACGGTTAAGTACAGTCACCTTCCTCCTTTGTAGCACCTGCACTTGCTCAGAATTGCCAACAAACCACCCCAAGAGAAGTGGCTCTAGACAGAGTAACACACACATGTTGGCAGAATGTGCTGTCACTTCATTAATTTAGGCTGCAGATGAGATGATTCTGTGCACTATCAGAATACCCCAGAAACCTTATTAGATAGTCATGCTGCAAATCAAAAAATTATTAGAAACATGGCAGGGGGGCTGTTTTCTAATAGAGGTCCCCTAAAATCCTCAATTTTAGCACAGCTTCCTTTATAGTTGCTCGAAACACCGTGCAGGCTACAATTAACTCTATTGTGATACGAACCAGGAAGCATCTCCCATGCGGTGGTGTTCTTAAGCTTCAGAATATTATAAAGTATATGA